GTCCTATAAATCCCTCTGTGTCCAGTAATAAACCATGCCAGGCCCGATTTTAAGGTGCAGCTGCCATCTCCAAAAAAGCTTCAATATGTGCAAAACACAGCGATATAAATTACAAATACCACCTTGGTATTTCCAGAATTCCTATCCAAGAGATCTTAACACTCCACATATCTGAGGTTCAACCTTAAAGAGCACAAAAACAAAACTTGTTCAAAAATCTTCGATAATGATTCAATGAAGCAATCAAAATATTCTCCACTTAGTTCAAACATGCCCCAGGAGAAGCTCAGGCTAGAAGATCCAACACGAATGGGTCAGAGCAGGAATGCTTGAGGCTTTGTCTGCCTTTCAGGACTATCGGAAAGCCACCTTCATGGATCTGCACCTTCTTTCCAGATAGGGCAGATGAATATGAATGTGCAGGTACAGTTCCAAGAAATGTAGCATAAACACATGGACAAATTAAACAAAATTAAATTTTCCTTCTCAGACCTTTTTTCCTGCTCCTTTCTTTCTTTCCTCAGTCCCCCCATCCCCCCATAACAGGCCGCAAGAGGCTTAGTATTTTGTCTAATGATGATCTAAATCAAATTTAGTTTATTGAGAATAACTAACTCTACTTGGTAATGTTAAAGGTAACTGTTACTTGAGGTTTCGACAGACAGAACCGACATGCCACCAAAATTAGACCTTGTGTCGTCGCCATTTCCCTGCCAGACAATTAAAATAAAGACGTCAATTCTAACTGAGAGATCAAAACTAAGCCAGTTCATCCAGCTTTCATCACGCAAGTGAAGTCATGCAGCTCTACCCCCACCATGTCGTATGCGTTTTACTTGAACATCTCTGAAAGCACACAGTGCTTTGAAATCTTTCTTCTTTTAAACCCAGAACGGCCGAGAGCCGTAGAAATGAAGTAGGTAAACATTTCTCCTACCACCTTCTGGTAAGACAAGAGGTCTTGCGTCTAGTGGAGATCTTTACGTCTCGCTTTATCGTATTATAAACCCTTGCCCGACTGTATAGGGTCGTTATGATAAACTATATATTTTCAGTAAATATTTTTCTAAAGACTTATTTTTACGCTGTATAGGATTATAGTAGTAAAGACAACAATTTGATGCGAAAACATGATATTAAATTTTAATGAGCATGCAACTCATTTTAAAAATCATTGCGTCAGAAAATTTGATCATTTAAGAGTTGTAATTTTTTTTTTATTTCAAGAATGTACTCATCTAGATAACTCTGTAAGACGTAATATACTATATTTATTAAAACCTAAAATACTTATTTTTATTTATTTAATTATAAAGATAGTTTTATTTCCAGAGCAATTGCTGCAGAGTTATTTATTAGTTCAAAAAGAAAAAGTAAAATGGAACATTAAGATAAACGTATAAAAAACAAAATTATTTTCCAGGTAAATAAATCAAAATTTATAAAAATTATGGAATTACAAATTACAAAGTAGAGAAAAAGAGGCGACACCGGAAAAGAATATTTACTTGGCATGAGCAGTTCATATCTTTTTTTAGGTGAAAATTACTTTTATAAAATTGTTGGTTATACTTCTAAAAGTAACAAGTGAACCTGTCCTTTTTCCTTCCGAATACCTTTTTGAAGGCACACAATTGTTACTTAAACGAAGATATGACTACGAAGAAAAAAATATCAATTTTAATGAATGTAAGAATAATTAAGCTGTATTCATAATCAGCAGGAACTTTAATTTCATTATTATTTTAAAGCCAATTATTTCTGACTTAAACAGCACCTCATACATAGGTATCTTCTATTCAAATGTATCTGTAAGATTTTTTGATGAATACAATATTTAATTCATCCATTTTATAATTAGGACGGTTTAAATATGTGTGTGGTGAAAAAATTTAGCTCTGAAATAACTTTATATTGTTACGAACCTCAATTCTTACTAAAATCAATGGTTTTATATTTTAACAGTAAGACTTTTTAAAGTAAGAATATTTAAGTCATTGTATTCATAATTAAGACTTTAAGTCAATTTAGAAAGAAATACACAAACCAATCCTTTTTTAAAAATCAGCACATTTTGTTTATAATTTCGATATTGGTCTATTGAAACACATTAAAAAATTACCTCTGAAATTCTTAAATTCGTTAAAACTAAATAGAATTCATCAATATCATCAAACGATATTTTATTAATTTATTCCTGATATAAAACTTTCTAATATTCAAGCATTTGAGCAGCTAGCAAGCAGAAAGAGTAAAGTAAATTAAGCATCTGCCCTCGAACACTTACTGGAGACATCAATCAAGAGTAAAAGTGGGAGGGGAAACAACCATTATTAACAAGATAAGATTGCTCCGCACCGTTTCACTACCCTTTTGAAAAGGGGAAGGAAACAAGCATGCGACAATTCGGGCGCTCGGCCGTCTGTATGGTAGTTTGCATGAGGGGCCGGTAAAGCCGTTGTGGCAGTCAGAGGGTTAAGAAAATTGTTTTTAAAGTTTTTTGGCTTTACATTGCTTGTATCTTTCAGTACTCAATTATTCTCTCGGGAGATTTTTCCATGGGATGAAAATCGTACTTACAGTCCATCCACCTCCGTCAGTGACCAGATCACATTGAACCTCTATCGACGCACACTCCGCGAATCTGCTCCTTGGCCTGATGGTGTACACTCTGCTTTCGGTATTTCCATTTTCCAAAACTTCTGCGCAGTCCATGAACTTCTCGCGCTTTCTTGCATCTAAAGAAAGATCTGAAAACGCTGTTTTTGAATTAAACCCCGGTTATCCGAACTCGAGTTAAACGAAACATGCGTTATCCGAAATACGTTTGAAATCTCAAATCCAAAAATCACGTACTGAACTGCAAAGAAGTAATTGCGAAAGCGAGACATATTTGCAACGATATACCCAATTTTTCTTTTAAGACTCCCCAAGAAGGTTAGTGATTAATTTAAGAATGTTAAAATAAAAATTAATGGATATTATCAATATTAATTATAATATTATTTAACTGTGCCTGTATTGTTTACCTTTGTCTCAACATTTCTAAAGAAACGACTAATGCTTTTTCATTAAAAAATATATAACACGTTAGCTAAAAATTTAGAAAATAAGTAATTCGAGAAAAATAAGAGCAATTAATGATGCCAAATATACGCTTACGGTATTACTTTTTTGGTTTACAATACTTCTATTTAACTTTTAATCTTTTAGTATATCGCATATTTGTCCTCTCAGATTTCTAGACCATTTTCCCCTAATATAACTTTACACTTTACATAACTTCAGATTTACACTTTAGACCGTTTCCTTGAAAAGCATAAAGGAATGGTAATACTTTACGTATATTTTCAAAATGGCAAATTTACATGAGACAAAACTGCGAATTATTTCGTGTACATTGGCAAAACCTGAAAACATTAAAATGGTTATTTCACTTATGAAGGTATTTTGATTCAAAAATTAAACTTAAACTGAAAACACACCAGAAACTGTAAAACTCTCAAATTAAAGCGATTGTGAAATTCTATTAATAAACGCAGAAATCAGTTACCTCAAATACTTATCTATTTCTATCCCTTTTTCTATGACGACATATGTTTCAATAATTATCGAATGAAATGTCATTTCACTGTGAGTTCTGAAATACAATTCCAAACGCTATTTAACCCTACTTAATACAGTAAAAACCCATTTTAATGACAATGCATTGTTAAGAGGAAAATTACCGTTATAAAAGACTTCTCATCAAAAGCGAATCATAAATGGAGTAAAATAAAATAAAGAATGCTAGAAATAAAAATGACATGTTAATTTTTTTCTCCTTATTTTTACAACTGCTTTTGTTAAGTACATATACAAAATTTTTCTTACACATTTTCGATTGGAAAACATAACTCTCAACTTTACACAATGCAATAATTTTCGAGACGAGTGTTTCAAAAGAACGATAAAAATGTGTAAGTCAAATATGGAGGCTTACAACCTGTTAGGACATGTGTCAGATATTTTGATCCGCTTTTGAACGATTCAGTAATTCAATAATTCCTGCGACATGTTTTGTGTTCTTCTCCTCCATCAAAAGACAATGTGCATATTATACTGCGATGCGTCTGCAGAGTATCGCACAAAATTCTGTATAATGAGCTTTTGCTACTGCCTAAATATTTAAATATGATTTATTTGAAACGAAGTACGCGAAGGGTGTGAAGTTAGTCCGCTGATGTAGAACGGCGCCCAGTTTTCGAATAGTCTTTAGTGGACGCTATCCTCGATATAGAGCGTCTGCACCATTGAATTAGCCTGAAACAACCTTCACCATAATCACGACGCAAAATCTAAAAAGTTTCAGCAATGGCTTTGCCTATTTGAAGTGACTTTTTAACAAACTCAGTGCTCTTCCATTTCCGAAATGTAAAAACAAAAATCACCAAACATTACACATCGTCGCTTAACAAGCAACACTGTTGCTCACCGTGGTACACCATCTTACTCTGATGTATATTAGCCAATATCCGACTCCGGACATTGGGAATTCCTTTTTTCTAGTGGTTAAGATATTCGGCTCTGAACCCAAAAGTCTCCGGTTCTATACCGCCGTCAAAGTGGTGACCCGGACGTGATCTGAACACGCAACAATTTTCAGTCCCACTAATAGATGGCAGCACCAAAAATAAGATCAATTTCATCTTCTGCTACATTCACAAGATGGCAGAACGACAACTCCCACAGCAACGCAGCTCTCCCAATTCAAAGCCTATGACACATTTCATAGCACAGAGCCTGCGATGCATTTCACAGCACGCAAAGTGTATGACCCTTTCATAGCACAAAGTCTGCAAGTGGCTGCGCAACAACAATCTGGGCAGCAATTCAAGCATATGCACGCAGCACATCGCTTCCTTGATATTCAGATAATATCAAACAAGCTGAGGGTTGCACCTGTGGCTCACCGTGCTACACCGTCTTACTCTGATGTATATTAGCCAATATCAGCCTCCGGACATTGGTCTAGTGGTTAAGATGTTCGGCTCGAAACCCAATGGTCCCCGTTCTATACTGCCGCCAAAACACCACCTATCTCAGATTTCGGCCATTTTGAGTTAGATACACATTTTCATGGAAATTTTGATGGCAGATCGATTGGCGGACTCTGTTTGGCTGTCACACCAACAGGTAGAGCACAAATGATAACACCACCTATCCAGTTTTTACCACAACAGAGCATATCTCAGTGTGTTTCAGAGTCATTCACAGATTTTTACGATTTAAGCCGATTTAATGATATTTTTGCGTTGATATTAATAGTTTTTCTGAATAATAAACTGTTTCTAATCGATATCATTCAGTCTCACCGATAAAGTACGAAAAATAACTGGGTTACTAGAAAATGAAGTAGACAGGTATTATATACTTGAGACACGCTGTGTTGCAGTGGTGCGCATATCAAATTCTAATTTGATTTTGTCTAACGCTTTACTCCATTTCAGAGTTAAGGAAAAAATAACGATCATTGAAAAGTACAATCGCGGAAAAATAAAAGGATCCACCCAGCATTATTACGCTGTTAATCATTTTATCTTAAAGCAAAAGGTACCAATTTTCAGGAAATAACGTCTACTAATAGATTCCATGCCTAAAAAGTTCAAAAGGAGTCGTCTACATATTTATAATTGCACTAACTTCAAAATTTCCAAGGAAATCACATTTTTTAAAAAAAATATTTCGAATCTGCATATAAATTTATGCTGGAATACCAAGTTTAATCATCCCAGCAGTTTTGGTTTCGAAATTTTAAGCAAATGAAATTATCTAAAATTTTGAATTTTTAGCGATATCTTGAGAAATAATGTAACTGTTTACCTAGAATTTTTTTCATGTAGTAGTAAGAATTATTCTGTACATTTTACTCTTTTACTCTTTTACTTTTTATTTTAAAATAAATATGAGTACATGAAATATTTTATCAAAATTGATGTTAAAAGAATTTTGAATAGCAAAACTTATAACTCTTAACAGTAATCGAAGCAGATGACCATTTCATTAACCTATTCAAAATTGCGGCATATTCGTACGGGAAGTTCTGAAGTTACATTAAATTTTCAATTTTAGCTGTAAAACTAAGCACTTATGGGACGTCTTATATTTCGAAAACGTTTTCATAATTAAATATAATCATTACACCACTTTATTTTTCAAACTTAATTTAATTCAAGCAATTGTGGTGGCTTCAGCTCCTTGGTGTCGCAGGCCCCACCATCTGAAAATCTAATACATTAGGGCTTAAGTGGAAATAAAAACTAGACCTGATAATCAAAATCATAAACCTCTATGAGGAAGATCAAATTTGGAATAAATTAAATCAATAAAAAGTTACAAACTACATAAATACAAAAATATTTTTAAAATAAATAATTTTAAAAGAATATAATAGGAGATTAGAAAATTGTGAAAAATTATCTAAGGCATAAAAAGGAATGCAGAACAGAGCGGGGGGAAACTCTCAATGAGATAGTCATTCTTGGTGTCTTACGACTCTGTTTATCATTATGATCATTAACAGGAATTTTGACTCATTCGGGGTTATTGATATCCGGCAGTTTTCTATAGAAATTTTTAGCAAGTTTTTCAATGAACTGCTGAAGGGAGGGACACATTTAATGCATTTCGTATATCAATATTTCGATGGTACCACCTGGAGTTTGTAATCATTCTTAGGGGTTTGTTTTCAAGCTTCTGAATGCTTCGTAAGTTACTTCTGGAAGTGCAGGCCCAAATGGGACTGGCGCAAGAGATAATTGGTCTGAGATACGCTAAATAGATCAGTACCTTGTTGACGGGATTTAGACAAGAGTTCCTACTGAGTAAAGAGTAGTGGGCGCAGAACGCTTTGTTACATTTTTCCTTGATCTGGCTGGCCTAACTTAACTATTTATATATATTATTAAAACTTTATAAATTAAAGTGGTGTTATATTAATCGATTTATTTTTCACCACATAATACTACAGTGAAAATCCATATTTAAACTAATATTTGATACGCCTTAAATACATGCAGAGTTTTGTGTAATATATTTCATTAAATCTACAAATAAAATCTGAAGCAAAAATATTCATATTTGAAAAAGTAGTAAGGAATTTAAAAAGAGAATTTTTTTAAACATGCAAATCAAGATGAATTTTTCCTCTTCAAGCTAACTTTATATGATTTTAAGTTTGAATAGTATCAAAAATCTTGTGCAATAACACTTGAAATAAAGAACAATATTTAGAAGGTAATGTGTCCCGTTAAAGAAATTCCATTTTCCCGGAATTGTGTCTTGATTCTCACCTTAAAGTGTGAGTGAGCCAAGTTTCTATCATGGTGTTACAAGAACTTCATGAATAAGATTGGCGCAGTTGATAAATAGATGGATGCTCTCATTGACTGGAATTTTAACATTGTTCGTAGACAATTTATGACCACACAGTTAAGTTATTTTGATGCACAACAATAAGAAGTTGTTTAAAAAATCTGACAAGGGGAGCACCAGGTGTATGTGTCACTGATTTTTTTCAAATTACGTTCATTTGTGGTAGTGCCTTAGGATAACATAACTTGCAAGCCGCAAGTTCTGCAACTCAGTCAAAATCGAGAAAATCGATTGAAAAGTTTAACGGGTAGAATATCAACTTTTTCGCTGCAGTTGTAATCAAGAGATGGCGGCGGTCGACTGGTTCAAGTCAGAACTTTGTATGCCTTACAAGGATGCCATATATAATATGGAGACCATGCTAAACTGTAGTGTATTATAGAAACAAAATTTGCGTTGCATAAATTAACGTTTTTGAGATAGTGTGCATTCGTCATAAATTATTTATGGGCTTGAAAAAGCTTTCATGGTTTGGTGTTTTGGACTTTTATATTCTCTGTAAACAACTATTGATTTTTTAATACGTTTTTTTATATCTTTAAGATTCACTGGTACTTTTGTTCTTCGTGTGCTTATAATTCATTTTGCCTGCACTCTGTAAATCGAGTTTTTCTCTGTGGTATGCTCTTCTTTTAAATAAATATTTAGGAAACTTAATAATTACTTTTAACAATATTTTGACTTCTTATTAGAGGCGCAATCTGGTAGTGAATATGAAAAAATTCATTAAAAGATTCATATTAATCATAAAATTTAATTATGAAATATATAAAAGGAGGTATTTAAAAACTTTTCAGTTGGTTGCTTCAATTTAGGCCTAGAAATGACCAGTACTTCGGATAATTGAAGACTTCGCAATTTTACTGTTTATAATTATTTGTAAGAATTTCATGCTATAGTCATATTTACACAGATGACGAAGTTTGAAAAACATATTTGTACCAAAAGTCATTAGAGACAGTAATTTGGAGAATTGGGTATCAAATAATGAAACATAAGAAACACTGAACGAATGTAGTTTCTTTGAGTTTTTTGCAACATAGCAAGAGAAACTATAGGAATTTTAAATTGACGAAAGCATTATTCTGGAAAACCCTTATGAATCCCATGCATTTACAGTAAATTCAAAAAGGCGGCTGCAATTTTTTATGGTAAAATATAGTTTGAAGTTTTGAATTAAGGAATAAATGCTATTTTAGTTTACACCTGTTCAGTTTTTTGTTGTCATTTTTACATACTAATCATTCCCGCATGTTTGAATTTTATTACGATAGAATTTCTTAGAATATTAGTTAGGTTGAGTTGCTATCCCTCTATGAAGCTACACTATTATGGGATCGACATCTTGGTTTTGAATAGTTCTGAAATGACGAGATGAACAACTAAGCTAGCTACGACTTTCCAAATTTCAAAGAGGAAAGAAATACTGAATTTTTCGTAACTAAAAACTATCATTTCTAATTTTTTTCACATGTAGTTAGAATATGCGGTCTCATCTTTATATCGGATGTTAAAAAATACAGAAATATTCGTTATTGGTTGCGAAAAATTGAATATTTCCTTCGTATCTGAAATTTCAAAGAATTGAGATAGGCGGTGTTGCATGTTAAGCGACGATTTTCAATACGGATCCCGCTTTTTCTCCGTGTAGGCTAAAAATATTGTACTAGTCATTGTTTCATGTTCCATTTAGCATCTAGATGGCGCTATAAGTCTATTTAATCGTAATTTGCTTTCCCCTTCTTCGAGCCTTTTTTTTTTTTTTTTTTTGGTCATTTACGCCGCAAATGTGTGCGAAACTATGGATTTGCTGAGTTGCAGTGGCGTTTTTCCTGTGAATATAGAACGAAAATATGTTCATTATGAAGATAGAGCTAGTGATTCTGAGTATTCAATAAATTTGGAGAGTTATAATAATAGTGAACATTCATCAATCATTTGGATCAAAACCGCCCGAACCATAAGGCAAAATTGTTTCTTCCTTTTATTCAACAAATTTATTTTAATTTTTTTTTTGTTCTATAGCAAAATTTCTTTATATATGTTCAACAAAACAAGTAACAAAATTAACGGCACTTTTATGAATTAATTACAGAAGTAGACAGCAGATCAGTAACAAATATCAGTAAGAGCATTTTCAACACAGTTGAGAGTAAATCAGCTCACCTGCGCACGCTGTTGTCAAAACACCAAAAAGATACTGACTCAACTCGCATCAGCTCCTGGGTATTTCTTGCTTTTCCGATAAGGTATGACGCCACATAGCATTCTCTCGAATGTTCTTTATATCTTCATTCTTAGTAGAGATAGGGTCATAATTCTTGGTGTTTCTAGAAGATTTGTTTTAAGATTAGATAATCATTCCTCAATAATTCATTTTAAGATAAGAGTACAAAATCTGTCTCCCAAATTATCGCCAAGGTTGGAGTTCATTAGTGAAACATCTGTGAAACTCTCTTTGCTGCCATAAGAGTATTATAGCAGGGAAACATTATTTCAGATTCGCAACAGTAAGTAGGGAAGGAAATTATGCTTGTGTTAGATACAGCCTCACACACAGACAATTTTAGTATCTTTTTATTCACAAATTCATTTCGATAAACCTTCTTATATGCCCGGATGCTTTTATTTCAAATTGTATTTACACAGACAGA